CCAAGTTCTCCACATGTGTATACATATATATATATATACACATACATATATACATACATACATACATACATACATATATACATACATACATACATACATACATACATACATACATACATACATACACATACATACACGAACCTTTTAATCAGCTTGCTTACTTAAATACGTTGTCTGATCTGGTTATTCACCTTGGTAGTTACTTACTTGCGCATATATGTTATGAACTCATGTGTATCTGCTTTCGCCATCTATTCGTATTAATTTGTGATAATGCCGAGTGCCGGGAACAGCTCTCGAAGCTCCCGGCCCTAAACCCTGAACCCCAAACCCTGAACCCTTTTGAAACCGGACTTGATGCTGGCAGCAAACCCTAAACCCTAAACATCCCTAAACCCTAAACCCGGCCCAGGCGAGGCACGGGGTCCGCGAAGATGCAGTCCAACTGCTCCGGGGAGAAGTTGCTGACGGCCAGGCTCTTGGTCTGGCCGGCGGCCAGCATCTCCTCTGGGGCCATGTGGGGGGTTTCCGAAAATACGGGACCCTAGTATAGCAATTACCTTAAATAGTAGGATCCTTATTATAAGCACCCCAAAATAAGGTACCCTAATTTTCGGAAACCCCTATGTGAGGAAAGGACTTATTCTTAGGACAGGGCGAAAGGCATTTTTGGAATCTTCCGCCTCGAAAGCCCTCCATTGCCCCCGGATGGTTTCGCAGTCTTTGGCTGGATAATCCAACCTGCTCCGATGTGGTGGGAGACACGGTGTGCACAAGAGGAAGATCTGGACCGTGTCGCTCCAGACATGATGGGTCAGAAGAACTAGCAACTGGTGGCAGCAAGAAGGTGCAAAGCCTGTATAGCAAGGTAGAAGCACAAAATGCTGACCAGTCGCATGATCATGTCCAACTCTGTTATGCCACCTGTCCACATTGTGACTGTGTCGCGGTGTTGACGCCCTATCTGCACTTAGGCTCACTTAGGTCCTTGTCTCGCTTCCTTCCGGACGGCTGACAGCAGAAGTCATCGTGTAAGAAGCAACGGGAAGAAAAGACCAAGCTTTGACAACTTGCCTTCGGCAAAGGCTTCCAAGTTCTTTGCACAGCCTTTCTTCGTGGTCAGATACCTCGACTCAAGTCCAGCTGCCCAGCTTAAGACCCAGACGTGCGCACGCACCTGTTACACTTCCACAAGGAAAGCCAAGCAGCGCATCTTCAAAATCCTCCCAGCTGAGACTGTGGGCAGAGTGAAAAAAACACAAAACGAGAGCAGTGCTTCCCTCCTGGCCTGCACAAGATTGCTCACCACCGATCCACAGATGAAGAGCTCTTCCCGTGGAACGCCCGACTTCTTCACCCCACGCGCAAAGCCTTTCTGGTTACCCGCGAGAACCTCAGAATTTGACGCCGAATTGGGGGCATGACGTGACGAGGGAGTCAAACTTGAGGCGCAAGCGGAAGCAAAGAAGTTTCGATAGCCGACTTCGATAGCCATTTGCGTCAGGCGCTCTGCTGTGTCGTCGCCGTAAACCTGCCTGCATCACCCCCGAAACTTCAGACGTCATCTCTGCTTCCGGTCACTGTCTGTGCCAAGATGCAAGCCGAAGGAAGCCTGGAGCAAACGAGTATAAGCCGGACCATGTCGGCGCAAAAGAAACCCTAGGAATCAAACAAATGCACGCAGGCATTCCAAGCCTTCGGAAACTGCAGTCCTCCTTTCAGTGTGACGCGCTCACCACCGACCGCCGTTCTCGATGAGGAAACCTCATAGGTTGCAGATGGAGGAGCAGGCGGCCTGATTAAGAACGTCGAAAACTCTGGCTTTCCTCACCTCTTCCGCCCTTGCTGCCAGGGGTAGGAGTGCAGTCGCCGTCACGGCCTCCTTCAGAGTATAAAAACACAAACGAACCGAATGTCCTTGACCCACATGCATGTCGCAGCAATGTGCTGAGATGCCCACTCTTCGACCTGCAGGTATCGGTCGGTGTCAGATGCAAGCAGCAGTTCTGCAGGTGCGTTGAGTGGCGTGGGCCTTGTGCACCCTTTCCGGGTGGCAAGGGGGCATTCTGCACATAGCACCAGCGTGCTGCGGCTCCGTAGATCATGTAGCTCATCAGCACCCATCCTGCGACCCTCCTGCAAGCATGCTCTGAGGGGGATCTACGAAGCTGACGTGCAGCTCATTTCAAGAGAAGGGCCAATTCAAGAGCCCGCGCACCCCAGTGAGAGAGAATGGGATAGAGTTGTACAGCGAGGCATTGAGAGACAGAGGCAGAAAGACGGAAAGAGAGAATGAAAGCCACGAGAAAGAAGGGGAGAACAGAAGATTTGAACACAGAGAAAAAGACAATCCTAGCAGGGCGAGCCAGCGAGAGGAAGCTTCGAAGCTGAGCCGCGCCTGTGCAGCCGCTGCCTGCGGAACAGTGCCAGCCCCGGCCGTTCAGGCATGCTCACCGGAGAGGACATCAAGCTTGGACCTTGTCCAGACTTTCTATCTTTTTGAGCACGTATCCATGTTTCGAGCTCGTAGATGAGGAACTAGCCGCTTCAGGCAGAATGTTGGTCAGATGGCTGTATGAAACAAGCCAACTCCTCGCGTTTGTGCACACATGTGTGAGCCAAATTGCTGCAAGGGCTTCAAACTGAACCCATCGACGCGAGATCTCGAACACCATCGCGCCATGAGCACATGTAACATCCTAGCACTGAACCCATCTGAACCCTGAACCCTTAGCTGAGAATGCAGCCACCGAATCGAAGTTACGGCCTGTGCCGGACCTGGAATCTGCCAAAAGAGAAAATCCAAGGGATCGGCCCCAGTTGGGGTTTAGGATTTAGGGTTTAGGGTTTAGGGTTTAGGAGCAGCCATCGCTGGGACCAGACTGAAGCCAAGCAACAGAGAATCCACTCGTAGAGTGTCATCGGCGGACACTGCTTCAGCCCTGCATGGGAGGAGAAATGCTAATCGATTTCCACTGCTCGAAATCAGTCAAACAGTCAGTCCTACGCCATCATCGTACGCGTAACCTGGCTCAATTGCCGATCCAAACAACTATGCAGCTGAATGAATGCAGCAGAGCTTGCACTCAGATTCTCCGGTAGTCCGAAAACCCATATCGGCCACTCTGTCAAGCTCAAAATGAAGGATTGTGGTTCACCAATAAAAGGGCCCCGAAGAATGACCTATGTCACTGAGGACACTTTTTGGGCCGCACCTTCCTGCAATGCTGTAGCTGAAGTCACTGAAAACATCCTCTGCTGCGGCACCACCACGGTCTATGGTACTGTAGTTGGAGAAAGGCAAGAACGGGACACATACTGGCGGCGCAATTTTCCATTTCCACTTGAAGGCGCGGGGCGGATCTGCCATACTTCCACACTCACGAGTCTTAGGGCGAATGCAGGTGATATTTTACACAATCCTTCCCCTCAACTGCCCTTCGTCAGAACACACGTTCGTCTTCTCCGCTGATGCACGACGATCAAACAAGCCGGCCAACCGTAGGTGCCCTTGCCATCTTGCGTGGCACACCCCCTGTGAACCGCAGCAACATACCTGCTGGCCACGAGGCGTCAAAGCCAAACAAATGCAAGGTTGCACTATATGAAACTGCTGAGCTGCCGCCATGAGACTGTGTTTCGCGAATCGGATGGGGTGCAGCATCGCAAGTCTTGGCCGTACCATACCTCACCAACGGAAGGGTGGCGGGATTCAGCAAAGAGCAAACGTTGGGCTCCGGCTGCCCACTACACCCATACCGTGGATCGCCGGGAAGCTTGCCTGAGTTTGGCGACAGCAGCGTGACTCCCTTACTTCTGCGTCAGGCGCTCAGGCACGTGCTAATCGGAGCACTGCATGCCACCGCCTCGCCTCGTAACGACTGAAGCCAGACAGATTACCCAATGAACGCCTCAGCCGAAGGAGTCATTTACTACTCTGCAATATGCAACCAAAGCCCCGTTGCCACCTGCTGAATTCTGCAGGAGACCATGTGGTGGTGTCACTACACCCGTCACAGCAAGCTTTGCCAAGAAACCAGACGTCGTTGTGCTGTGGTGTTGCTGTGCCGGGCTCTCATGCTATTGACAGGCAGGCGGCCATCCTTCATCATCCGAAGATCGTAGTACCCTGGCCTCAGCATCACTGCCACAATCAACAAACTTATCGCCGAATAAAAACTTGAAGGACCGGCTTCGCAACCGTGATGGTCGGCTGTGTCTGATCTGCGTGACCTTCAAACCCACACGCACATAAACACAAACAACAGGCATACACACAAACTCACTCATGCACATCGTACAACTTGTTCCCGCTCGTTGCGCCCAATTCCGGCCTAGCTTTTTGCTTGGCACCTTGCCAATCCAGCACCTTTCGCAAGCCCAAAAACAAGAAGGAAGCTAACAAATCGACACGAAAGATCCATCCCTGCACATCATCGACACGAGCCCCCGACTGCGATTGACCTTAACTGTCACCAGATAAGTTTCGTAGCAATCAAACATGGGAGCTATGGGAGGCCGATATGAGAATTGATCAATATACCTTCATCTGGACTTGGCTCCTTCGCGGAACATGCGTTTCCTTTCGCGGCACCTTCGACCTGTCCTTCGCAGGACATGTAAGTAGCCAAAGTGGCGGCACTAGTAATAGATAGTAGTACTAGTAGCAGTAGCAGTAGCAGTAGCAGTAGCAGTAGCAGTAGCAGTAGCAGTAGCAGTAGCAGTAGCAGTAGCAGTAGCAGTAGCAGTAGGAGTAGTAGTAGTAGCAGCAGCAGCAGC